CTCCCGCTCTGTCTGGCAACTCTTCTCACCCCCTGCACTTCTGGCCTACACCCAAATTCTTGTATGCATAAATAATAAAAAAATAAAACCTTTAATAAAAAATAATAATACCTCCATACTCGAAGGGCCTGGTTATTTTCCCTTTAAATACATTTTTTTGTTTGTTTAATTCTGCTTGTCAATAAATGGATTTGCTCAGAGGACCATATCAAGAAAAAGTTACTAGTTTCTCCTGATGACATGGCAGACACAGGGCTAGTTGTTTTATAGGCAATATTTTACAAAATTCTCACAAGCACTCTTGAAAGTAGGGCCTATTTTTACTTCCATTTGAAGAAGGAGTAAATTGAAGAACAGAAAGCTTAAGATATTTATCCATAGTCACACAGCTAATTAAGAACAGAGGCCAGGACTGTCAATAGCCTACATGATTTCAGACTGAGACCTTTTCTCTGCTTCCTACAAATTCCATCTGCTGCTTAGTTACTTTACAACCACTGTCACTGTTTTAAAGTCATTCTTCACCCATCTTATGAGAATTACCAAGTCATATTTCAACTCATATCACCCTGCAAAATGGTGTCATGAATTATGGATATTTTTTGCACACAAACATAATTTTCAGATAAGCTAAATTACAATCCACTGGCTTTTTAATGTCTTGTTTCAGTTTTTTTCTTCTTTTTTGCAAAATTGCTTACATAATGAACTGGAACTGGATTCACGTTCCTTGCTCTTGGCTAATAGACACTGACCTCCACTAGGTTTGTGGCTTGAACCAGACTAAATCTATTCTTGTTTAGGAACTAGAGTTTTGGGGACTCTGAGGCTCTCTGAGTAATCACATTTGCCTTTGGGTCTCATTTGATTCTGTGTACACGTTGCAACAACCAACCAGCTCAAGGAGAGAAGGGTCGCTCCAAAGATGACTAAGCAGTGAGACCAATTCAGTCACTTTCTGGTGAAGTTGCGATGACATTGGCTTGACTCTCCCTTCTGTCAAACTGGAGGAGCCAAGAGAGATGGTGTGCTCTCAATAAACAGTTCCGCAGCTGCTTGAAAAGGTCAAATGGTTTAGCAAGTTCTTCTCTAAGAGCAACTTTTGGTTGTCCAGTCTATGAAACCATGCTAGATCATAAGGTAACTGCTACAGCTGAACCCACAATTCTTGGGCAAGTAGCACTAAGTCATCACGTGACTTTTGTCCTTCCACGGAGGACAGAACCACTACTTGCCACTTCACTGGCAGGGAGAAGAAACCCAAGGGAAGGTGGTTAATCTGGGCTGCCAGAAATAGATTAGGAAGTCACCGAGTTTGCAAGCAATGCAAGCAACATTCTTTAAGGTCATTCTCTAGGTTTCAAGGTCATGTTCTCCTAGACTTTCATTCTGAAGCCCACACAATACCAGCCATTGAATTGGAATCTATAAATTATTTTTTAATACCACAAATGACATAAAGGTGTTCAAGCATAAGGAGTATTATATTTTCCTTCATGCTTCTTCCCATCATTGAAATCTTGCAATGAAAAGAGAGAACTGCAAAAAAAGGTAAAAGATTTATACGATCCGAAGAGAAACCAAAGTATGAAGACTGTATTTTAACCAAAGATCATAGAGCCATTTATTTAAGTACTTTAACACATTTCTCTCTCCACCCAACATAGATAATGTTCTTCACAGATCTACTGATTATCACCACTAAAAACATCTTTTATCTGCAGTGTAAGGTACATGTCAAAGAATTACAACATTTGAGGTCTGACAATTGACATTTCAATATTGGATGAGGTGAACAGACCATGATTTCTCAAACTATTCTGTGAATATGACTCACCTGGGGACAGAGCTGAAGTCTAGATTCTTACCTCTACTTAAAAAAGCTGGTGATGGCACTGATGCTATAGTTTAGAACATGGGCACAGAAGGTAAATTCCAGAGTCGTGCAGATCTTCTCAGTACTGGAGTAGCACATAACATCTAACGGTTGCTAGGGATGATTAATGCCTGAGTGATGATTAGTTTTTTTTTAGTTTTAGCTCTAGCTTCATTAACTCTCATGTGGTCTGAAGTGGTAGAGTAGCCACAGGACCCACTGGAAATACTGTTCTTTTTTTTTTTTTTAAAGCAACCTTTTGCTGTTTAGAAGTAGATTACATTTTCTTTTTGGGTCTCTATTTTTCCTCAAGTACTTTTTTCTGATAATTTCTTTCTCTGTGTAAATTCCTGCAAGGAATTCCCTTAATTAATTCCCTTAATTTGCCAGGTAATTAGAACACTGATGTATGGGCAGGTCAGTCTGGAATTGCCAGTCAAATCTGATCTCTTAGTTTAAGGTTGGGATCTGGTAAGAGATGGGCACAATAAGAATAGGAGAAGAGTTGTACTGGGAAAAGTGACACTATTGCTGATATTTAGCTCCAGGGGCAATGTTTGAGGATCTCTAGCTCTTTAAAACCTCTCCAAGAAAATGGGACTTATGCATAAAGATGTAAGAATATTTATTGAGACAATCAAAAGGAAATAAAAATTTCCATCAATGAAGAGGATATGTGTGTTGGAATATTATACACTCATTAAAAGGGACGACACCATTTATATAATGAATTGACATGATAAGTTATCATGTAACTTGGAAAGGAAGGCTGGTAAAAAATAAACATAATCTTATCAAGGGGTGTGTGTGTGTGTGTGTGTGTGTGTGTAAAGAAATATATGAAATAATACTTTAAATACATGAATGCTTAACAAAAATTGCATATGTTTGTTTTCCTGCATGTATCCTCTAAATTTTCTCATACTGTATTATTTTTAAATGAAAACCGGGCTATTTACACTTGAGAAAAAAAAAACACCTACTCAGCAATTATTTATGAACTGTGACCATCTGGAGTGGTAGGAAGTACAACAGGAAATCTGTGAGTCATTAATGTCAATGCTTAATTCTCTCCTGTATCATTTTAATTCCAACTGTGGATGGAATTAAATCACCTTCTATAGAATAACATTTTGAACAAAGTGCTTTCCTTTGATGAACGCAAAGTTATTTCATATCAAATTTAATATACTTTATTTATTGGTATGACCACCAGATTAAATAAGAGTAAATCCCATTTTTTAACTTTACTGCTATATTCTAACTCTATTGGGTTGATCAAGTACAGTAGCTAGTTTTCATTGATGTGCTGACCACAAAACACATGTCCCTGCATTCACTGTATAATTCCCTTTCAGCTTCCATCTGGCCCTTCTAGATCACTACTTCTGGGGAAATCCAACTGCTAGGTAAGAACTGTGACTACTCTCGACTGTTTTCAGATTCACTCCAGTCCAGCCACTTTAGCCCAGGTATGAGATCCAAGAATGAAGAAAGATGCAACAACCCTTGCTGCAGTCACCATCTGACTTCAAATGCATGAGAGATGCCAAGAAGAATCACCCAGATGGACCCAGTCAACCCAGAGGATAGGGAGCAGCAGTAACCGTAACTGTTACATGTAGCTACAAAGTTTTGGAATTTTATGTTACAGCTGATAACCAAAAAACAACCATGAAAAGCTTTTGTTATTAATCCAGCAATCTTGCCCATCCCCACTTGAATTCATATTTTCTTACACAATTTTGAGTCATTTTTTGAGATGTTTAGACGGGCAAATCGGTATTGACCAAAATGTGTGGTGCACAAAGGAAGACATTGCACCCATGAAAAGAAAACTCCTTTAAAGCCAAGATGCTATTTTAAAGAATGAAAATGAGGAATGGTTGTGGATTCTCTTCCTGTGGAAATTAAAAATAGCTGTGGAGAATGGATGAAATATCCAGGACATATAAAATCTTGTTTGTTCATGCCTTCTCAGCTTCACATGCTGCCAGCCCTCACAGAAACTTAAAACAAAATGACTAATGCCAACAAAGTTCTCAGTTAAGGTAGACCAAAGATTGCAGCAATCTTAACATAGTCCCAGGGAAGAGCCTCAATATGCATAAGGTCATGCATCACTTAATGATAGGATACAATCTGAGAACTATGTTCTTAGGTGATTTTATCCTTGTGTGTATCATAGTGTCATTGCACAAATCTAGATGGTCTACACAGCACACCGAGACTATCTCAGGACCATCCTTCCATATGCAGTTGGGTGAGCCAAAACATCACCATGTGACCCAACACTGTCTCATCGACTATTATCATTGGAAAGTCATTTGAGTGATGTATGTGAAGCGGGGAGCCCTCTATGTTGGATTCTGTTGCTGACATGATGTAAGTCCCAGGTAAAATGCTAGCAGTTTATAAAGTAATCATGTACTGATTAAACAACATCAACTGGTTCCCGCAATAAGCAAGATCAAGGTGACTGTGTGCCTCCAGGTATCATTGGCAATCCACTCAAAAGGTCCATGGTAAAGCCTAGCAATTATCCTCTATTTAAACAGATCTAGTCACTCAGTTTATGGGAGAAATCAAGGAATTCCACATAGCCGATGTCTGACTTGTACCAACATTTTCTCTTGCCCAGAACATCTGCATCACAGAACTAGCTAATGGGTTTAGAACAAATTCCTACTATTGCAAATATTACATGTAGAATCAAGAAAAAGTCAAATGACTAGTTAGCTTAACAATTTAGCATCAGGAACACATGCAACGCCAAAAGTCTTGATCTTAATCTTTTCATTTAAGCCATCTGGTCTTGTCCCCACCACAAACCACCTGATTTTAATCATGAAATACTGGCTTTAATACAACCTAGAATTATTACCTATAAGAATATTGAGTCTGAAGTGCAGTACAGATGAAATGACTTTGTAAGGAGTCTTCAAGACAGCAATTCTGTTGTTTTGTTCCATTCTGTTTTGGAAATGGGAGAGGAGAGTTGGGGAAGAAAAAGAGATGAACCCAAGCAAGCAAAACTTTAAACCTTTTTTACATACAAGCAGCATCTCTACCATATAGAACTCAATTAATGAACAAACTCATCACATTTTTCAAATGTCTTTTATTGGTTGTACATTTTCTCATGAGATCAACACACCATTTCTTTCAAGGACACGTAACTCCTGAATACTTAAATTATTTGTCCTGGCTGTGAAGATCATAGCTAGCACATTGACAGAAAGAGGTGGTTGGGTGTCATTTGCCATGATCACTGTCTTCTCTACCTTCAAATTGTTGTTTGAGTCAGTTCATAGATCGACACAACATGGAACGCGACACACACACTGTGGAGTTTCACATACATGTGCACAGTTATTCAGAGACCAATCATTACAGTGTCTGCAGTTTGCACTTCCTCAGCAGCAGTTTGAAACTGAAGAATATCCTGAGATAGGAAATCAAAGCATCAGCTCCTCATGAAAAGAGGAGTCCAAGTTGGATGAATCCCTCAATTTCATTTTCCTTTTGCAGTGGCAAAAGGGGACATGAGTGGTCACCCCAGGGGTTGTGTCTCAACCACCCAGTTCAACCTCCCAGCGATTTCCTGGGTCAAAAAAAACACAGATTCAAAGAACTGTTCTCAGAACCTCACTCTCACTGTACTAGGCTCTTCCATCAGAAAAGAAGAGGGAGATTAGAAGATTAGGCTTTTGACAAGATACTGTGATTGAAACGTTCATCCTCCACCTTTGGCAATTATTATAATTCTTTGTTTATTGACTGGTAGAGGCCAATCCTCTATGCTATTCAGTATGAACTGGCACTTGCATGAAAGCTGAATATCTTAAATATGAGGCCCTAGGAGAGGTGGGTTCTCCAACAAAGTCATGTTACTCTTCAACTGAGTATCTATCTGAGAACATTGTCAAACTTACCTACATCAACCAATCCTTGCACCTACTCCAAGTCTTCTCCCTAGCTACCTCCATGGATTCGGGATTCTGAAATAATATCACCAATTACAGTAAGCAGTAGTCCAAAAGAAAAATAAAGCACTTAGATAGCAAGGAAGCCTAAACCAAAATGTATGTGGGTCCCCCAAAGCCCACCAGAGGCTGCCCTTCCTATAAAGCATGTCATTGGAAATCTAATCCTGGAATCTGCTTGCTGTTATTACTCTATATTCAAATTCCCCTTCCCCCATTCAATGACGAGATATGTTTTTCCCTTAAGAAAACAAGGTGGCCCACACATTTCCACCCAAGGAAACACAGAGCAAAGTACTTGCCCCATCTACTTCTTTCATTCTGCAGCTACAAACAAAAAGTTCCCAGGGCCAGAGCTTGGATTTAACATTCACCTCAAAGGCATGGAAACATTCTACCCATGTGCTTTAGAGGTCTTTATTTTATGGACTTCTAATGAATTCCATACACTACAGGTCAGCCTGCCTCATTCATTTAAAAAAAGAAAAAAATTGCAGTCCATGAAGAAGAGATGATTTCCACCAGGGAAAGCTAGCAGCACAGTGTGCCATCCAGGGCCAATGATGGAATTGGGCAAAGAGAAAATTCACAAAATGGAATTCATTCTTCCATTTCAAATTCTCCAAAGAGGCAGTGTTGGCTTCAAAGAGTAGGTGCATACCACCTCTCTGATCTCCTTTCAGAATATTTTGGCTACCAGGAAGAAATAGTAGGGTCTCCTAGCTAGCACATGGAATGACTTTACTCTAGCATCAAGGGATTGCAAGGACCAGTCATGTTTCAATTGCCCGACAGCTCACTTTACAATAAACATGGCTTAAAAGCAGATTTTGGGGGTGCAACATAGGAAAATAGCAATCATATACACAAATAAAAAGGCCTATCATAAAATTCACACAATGTAAGGGAAATGTTTTTCTTCCTCACAAAGGTCAGATTAACTAAGGAGCAGCATTTCAGCAGTATAACTAAAGCACAAAAGAAGCTGGGAAAACCCACTGATTTTACTAAAAAGCTTGGACAGTTCAATTCCGTATAGAAGTTACATCTTGTGTCTCAGAGAGATTTTCACAAATTACATAGAAAAATGGTCTGTGTGTTTAATAAGAGACTTGAGTGATATACCAAATGTCTCTTTCCACTTTAAATGACCAAATGGAAGGGAAATTAGAAATGTGTTCCAATTGAGTAGGTTAATTATGTAAAGAAAGCATCTTTTCCTCTAAAAATGGCTGTTACTTTATTAAAACATCATTTCATCATTTCAGTTCATAGAGAAAAATCACTCCACTTGGCAAATAAATTTGAGAGGAAAGAATAAAACAGAGATAGTATAAGAGAGAAATTGCCTGGATTTCCTTAATTAAACATCTCAGTAGCTTATACACAGAGATTGGCCAAGAACTCTACAAACCGTTTCCACTTACAACTGTTTGACACCTAGAACGTTCTAACATGGCTGCTCTGACAGCTTCTCCCACCCCATTAAATTCTCAGAATTCATCACACACCCCAGAGATGTGTGTACAAGGCACCTGATATGATTCCATTGATATCCAAGAAGCTCCTTGTCTTCTATTCATCATAGATCCACCATTGTGGCTTGTGGCTTCTAAAGACTACAGCAGGTTCTCATTACTGTCCACCACCTATACCTTTTGCAAAATCCAGTAAAGGTGACTCAGTTAGCTTGGGTCTCAGACGATAGCCTTTTCTGTGCCAAACGTATGCTGAGGATTACTTTTTCCTAGCAGTCATGAAACAAAAATTTTGATGTCTGCTTTTCAATGCAGAAATTTAGTAATTCTGCTGGCTACCAAGAGCCTGATCACACCACTCCTCCCTACTCCTCAGTCCTCCTCCTCAACCGAGTTAGAAAAATAACCAACTTAAAAATCTAGATGCATGGTCTTCCTATATTGACGTCCACACTTTCTTTCAAATGATTCATGCATAAACGTAAAAACAAATGGTCTTCTCTTCTTGTTTTTCAGCCTTCAAACCCCATGAGTATGTTCAACATAGCACAACTCAGGGACTCACAGGCAACACTGGCTACAAAATTCCTCAGGATCTTGGGCTGTTTTGAGGCCCTTTCACTATCATTTAAATTCTGAAGCCTTTAATTAAAGCCACAGATTCACTGGTAGCCAAATATGCTGATTGGAGGGTGATGGGGGTTTCAAATGGGCAAGGTAAACCTTTCACTGCACTCTCTTCCCCTTCTCTTATTAACAAGAAACCCTCCAGGGGTACCACTAAACATAGTGTGAGATCCACTCTGTGCATCTGACTCTCAGCTTCCCACATTCTGGACACATTGAGATACACACCTTGAAATCAGAAATTGTCTTCCACACAATTCATTGCTTCTGAAAATTCAAACTAATTTTGAGTGTCATGGTTTAAAATTATAAATCCTAGCTCTTCAGTGAAGACCTGTAGTGTATTTCTAAGAAGATTCACAGTTCTCCGCATTGTGGAAAAATAATTCTCATCAGATCACTTTTGGTGTCCACCTTTCTTAACAATGTCTGTCTCCAGGACTAACAATTAAAGCTTCATTTTGTTGCAAACTTTCATTTTTCTTTACCCAGAAGGTAGCTGATGGATGGGGTGCATATTCCTCAAAGTTTTTGAACACCATTCTAATAATTTGCCTTTTTTTCTGGGTTAACACTGTTGTAAAATGATATAGAGTCAACATTACAAGGGAAACTAGAGAAAATGTTCAGAAATCAGTCAGTGCCATATGCTGAATCTTCTTATGTTCAATATTTTTAAGGGACAAAAATTATAAATGTTTTTAGGTGGGTTTTCTCCAGGAGATCATCCTTATAGTAACACTGAAAATAAGTCTTCGGATACACCTTCTGCCACCTCCTTTTATCAGCCCGCTCTTCTGTGGGGTTCCTGGTTTAATACTATTTGTTGCATTTATCAAATCTCCCAGCTCCCAAACACTACCTCGCATCCCTGTTTAGCCTTAAGATCCAAAGTCCAATGGTTTTCCCCAAAGCCAGTGAGTGCCCTGACTCGCTATGCTGAAATAGCTTGATGTCTTCAATACAAAGGATGCCAACTGCTCATTTCTACCACAAGATGACTTAGGGGAACAGATGCTTAACCCAGCTGCTCTTTCTGAAAGACCAAATGGAAGTTCTTATTACAAGATCCTATATTTTGGATGAGGTTTGGTAAAAGTTCTTTTAGATTATCTCCCTTACATCTTTGAGACTTGAGAACAACAGTCCATTGAGGCAGACTAATGCAGAATTGCTGACCCAGATCTTTTGTTGTTGAAAATGGTTAGAACCATTCCTTTCATTTAATCAAGAGTTTTAAGTTAGCTTGTTTCATCTTTGATGGGCAGAAGAATAAAAACAAGCAGATGCAATCAAGGAAGTCCTAGTTAAAGACACAAACTCAAGGGATCACTTAGGTTGTCTGGTTTTCCACATGAAAGTGCCCAAGTGCCACGACTTTCCCCTGCATTACTCAAGCTCAATCTCCAAGTCTAAAGGCCACTAGCTTCACTCTTAAGAAAAAACCCTAAATCTCACAAATGCAAAAGTATCTATCACCTGGGGAAAGCCCATGCAGGTTAAGAGTAACTTCCTCCAAAGAAATCTGTTGCAACTGACAACTCTGAGAAAGAAACATAATGCAAAGCTCCTGACAATCAAAAGGTAAACTCCTAAGAATGAAAAGTTCAATGTCCTAGGTCAGATGCCAATACAAGTAATACCAAGATATGGAAAGTCCCAGGCAACCAAGTTGGATAGTTTTAAACTCTATTAACACATTTGTGTGACAGGTGGTAATTGATTTCTTACAAAAAAAAAAAAATCCCTACCACAAAGTCTTGATCTTGCTTTATGTTTCCACTTGGGCCCAAATTCTCTTCACCTCAGATAGGAGAAAGACTCTGAGAGAAATTTGCTTGAAAAAAAAAAAAAAGAGAATCAGGATCAGGAATTAAAAAGATAAACCTCAACTTGAGTCTTGATTCCAAACACTCCTGCTCTGGAAGTATGCCCCTGCACAGCTGTAAACAGTGACTCTCTAAACCTCAGAAAAATGACACATCTTCTTTGTAGACACAGGTGGTGAGTGATGTATCTGGTAGCAATGTGCTCCCCCAGAAGGGTAATTTCATTTTGAAGGCTCTGGAATTCAGGTTTTGTGTCCCTAGGTGAAGAGAAAACATTCTTTTAGGTAAATTGTCAGAACAAATACCTTCACTGTGCTCTCTTAAGGAGTTTCTGAGTGTCATTCTAAGCATAACTGATGTTTCCCTGATGCGCTGCAGGAAGTGAAATGTCTTTGATAATGAAGAGACTATAGCTTTGAGGATGATGTGTTGTCCCAAGCTGAAAAGAGACAATGGGAACAGCTGAGCTCACCAGCAGTCAGCAAGTGCATGGTGTTCTGTACAGCCAGAGGCTGCAAGTACTAACAGAAAGCAAAGCATTGTAAGTCATTTTTCTGGAACCTTCCAGAATGCAGAGCTTTCATTAGAGGCTATGGAAGCTGGCCATTCAAGGAGGGTGACACAAGATATCCGCATCAGAAAGGGGCATTTGGCACAGACCCCTTACTACAGAAATGTGTTGATGATTTCAGAAAGGATGAAGGTAAGGCAGCCTTCTCTCCAAGTCCAGGGATAACCCTCAATGGCAAGAACTAAGTCTCTTATCACCATAACCTGACCAAAGAACAAGTCTTTCATCAGTTCTTGCTGTGAAAAAAAAGATGGTCAGAGAAATGGGCTGCATGGATTGGAAGATTTTTAAGAAGTGCATCTGCCTTTGACTTAGGTGGCAAGGATGGCCTCCCAAGTTCTCAGATCTGAACATGGTTCAGGGAAATAGAAAACTAGATGATCAGTGTCTGGGTCCATGATTCTTCAAGCATGCAAATCACACCAAAGAGAGAAATAATATGTGAAGCTAAGAGAAGGATGGAGGTAAGTTCTAAAGGAAGTATCTCCAAGGTGAAGTAAGCTGTGTCAGCTCCTGCATAGAAAAATTAAAAGTAGGCAGCCAATTGAATCTGAAGTATATTGTGCCATTGACTTCCAGAGCAAGCAATACTTACCTGAGCAAATTTAGAGTCAATTTGCAAGGGAGTGAGAGAGTTCTCCTTTCCAATTTCATTTCCCTATGTCCATCTTCCTAATATGCCTCAACAGTAGATAGGTTAAGTCAATACCCACTAAATGGAAGAACTATGAACACATAACTCATCAGTCGGAGATTTATATTTGATAATCTAAGACTGGTGCTGGCAGATCATGGCCGAGGGACCAGATCATTTCCTGATTTTGTAAATAAAGTTTTATTGGAATACAGCATTATGCTTACTCATTTACATGTTGCCTATGGACGTTTTCCTGGTATGGCGTCTTGACTAGTTGCCAACAGGACAGTAAGGGACACAAAGCCACAAATCTGGTCTTTAACAGATAAAGTTAGCCACTGGTCAGGATGTCACAGTATGCATTCTATGGAACAGAGGTTACTGACTCTTTGGGGTCTATAAACTGTGCTTCACTCTCCTCCCCCACAACTAAAAATGTTTTCAAATTGTGTGCTCCACGGACTGTGTGCCTTTTCCTTCGGAAAAGATTCTAGCTTTCAACTGATTCCCACAGGAATCCCAAGTACTCCAGTTACAACCAAAGAAAGCCACAGCATCTTTATCCGACAGCACATTTAATAGCACGCATGTGTGTATAGGCACACACACACACACACACACACACTCATACCCCTTGATAAGAGGAATCTGGCCTTCCAGAATAAAATGTCTTTAAATCTCTTTCATTCCTATTCTATCAGACTTGTAACAACAATTTATTCTGGCATTTTCCCACCTGAATATATAAAGTGTCAGAATCCAGTTAAAAACCGTACCTTCTACTTGCTAATTGAATAAAAAATAAAGTTCTTTAAACCAGCAAATCTCCCTGAAGTCATATACAGATACAAAAGACAGAACTTATAAAGTCCCCAGCATGATAAAGATTTATTTCATTTTATTAGATCTACATCTGCTCCAGTGAATTTTATGAATATACAAATGCTATCTTCAAGACCAGAGGGAGTTAGACTGCTAACGAGGCTTTTGGGTCAGAAATTATAAGCTAGGCATCCATTTCATTTTCATGCCAAAGATAATGTATTTTGTTAGACACTTCTGGAAAAAAAAAAAAAAAAAAAAAAAAACAGGATAATTCCTCTGAGCAGAGCTAATGAAGTCCCTTGATCAACAAAAGCACTTATTGTTAAACAGTGAAAACATTAGTCTCTCTCTTTTTCCTGATCCTATTCTCAGGATACTAAGTCAATTACTTTTGGAGAAAACTGGGACCTCGACAGTCTTAGTTCAGTCTCCTTCACACTGTGTGTAGAGTTTTTAATTACAGGCCCTTCCTGGTGGGGCAGCGGGTTAAAGTACAGCACTAGGAAGCTAAAGCCACCTCAGCATGAGTTTGATCCCCGCCACAGAGGTGACCCACATGGCACAGCAGGCCTCTCCTGACCTGCCCGTTGCTCCCCTCAGCAGTGCACTTCCTCAGTCAGTCTGTCCTGCTCCCCACTCTGTCTCTGGTGAATCTTCTTACCACCCCTGCACCTCTGGCCTGTACCCTAGTTCTGTATGCATAAATAAATAAATCTTAACAAAAAAAGAGTATTTCATTACCTAGACTATGACACTGTAGGACTGGTGAATGGCAAAGGTCAGACGAAACCAGCACAAGCAAACAAATACACTCACAATAATGATGGAACATATGCAGTGGAGTAACCCGGAGAACTGACAGACCACAGATTCCACTTAGAGCGTCATCCACCACAGATAACAGACACCAACAGGACACATATCTGTGGTGCCCAAGCTCCATGCTGAGACCTCCCGCATGACTGGCAAACTCCGAGGGGCACCACGAGGCCACAAACTTTGGAGGGAAGCCAGCAACATCTGCAGAGCGTTGCACAAGCTCTCATCATTAAATTGCTTGGACCTAACTACTTAATCAATGGAACTATGACGTATTTATGTTGGCCTAGGGCATTATGTAAAAACATTCTCAGAGGACAATGTCACCGCAAACAGAGAAAGTTTGGAAGTCTCTGGCATAGGCTATTTTTTTAGGTTTAGAGGATATATAAGAACTGTAAAATCAAACAAGTTAGAGAACTGCCACATATAAGACCATTTCACATGGCTTACCCAAGATCAAAGTTTTTTATTCTGACTTTATCTGTTCTTCCACATGAAGCCAATACATGAGCACCATGTGTGAAATCAGAGGTTCTCCAGCTGATAATTTATCATGAAACATATATACACATTTTTGTATATATATCTGTGTGTGTGAATTTTCTCTCGTTTAAAGCAGCCATTTGGGGAAACTACATTTATTCTAGAAAGGTTGATGTTTGCTTAGAAACCCACACAGACATTTTTGGGAAATCTACACATGAAATTATATTCAGGGTCCCCGCCATAGTCTTTTGAAAAGTCTCAGTGACGCGAAAACGTCATTGCTGAGGGCTGAGTTGACATTAGGAAATTGCCAAACACTATTTGGTGCTAAGTTGGATCAAAAAGGTGGTGAATGAAAGAGGAAAATACCTGGTAAGGATTTTTGTGGAAAAACAAGCCACTGAGGAGTAATTATGAAATGATGCTCCTGAATGTCACTCACAAAGAAGAGGGAAGAGAGCCTGTAGCCTTTTTTTTTTTTTTTGAAAGAGAAGTGGCAATGATTTTAGTAGATAAATATATCATCTTTCCAGGTGGCTTCTCTGGAGGGGAATGCCTTCAAGGCAGTCATCAGACTTATGTGGCAACTGTCTTTAAAAGTCATTCACATTGGGCCCTCCCTGGTGGTGCAGAGAGTTAAAGCATGGCACCAAGAAGCTAAAGCCACTTCCGCATGAGTTCGATCCCGCCTGGGGGGTGACCCACATGGTGTGGCAAACCTCTCCTGATCCGCCTGCTGCTCCCCTCAGCAGTGTACTTCATCAGTTGGCCTGTTCTGCTCCCCACTCTGTCTCTGGTGAATCCTCTCACCGCCCCTGCACCTCTGGCCTGTACCCCAGTTCTGTATGCACAAACAAATAAATCTTAAAAAAAAAGAAAGTCATTCACATTATTTTTGAACACACATTTCAAATCAGTATAGGTAGATGGATATTTTCATAAACATCAAGATGATTTATACTGTGGAAAATTATGAGATACCAAATCAAACACACTTGGAAAAAAGAGCATGAGCAACATTTGTAGAGAAAAGTTGGCTCTCTAACATTCATGTATTTCTCCTGCATAGGTACAGATGGGGGTACTAGTCAGACAGTACATGCCAATAATTCTATTTTGCCACTCCCCTTCAATGTGTATCAACCTGTAACAGTTTATGCACCCCAACATTTATTTAAAATTAACAGTTCAGAAAGTGCATCACAATTCTCCACAAACAGTCTCATATTCCAAAATTTAGACTCAAGGGCCTTCCTGGTGGCACAGGGGTTAAAGCTATTAAGCTATTGGTAGCCACTGCAGCATGAGTTCGATCCCGGGAGTGATCCACATGGCGCAACAGACCACTCCTGTCTCCCCGCTGCTCCCCTCAGCAGTAGATTTCAGTAGATCCACCTGTTCTGCTCCCCACTCTGTCTCTGGTGAAGCCTTTTACTCCCTCCCCCACACCTCTGGCTCTTACCCCAGCTGTTGTATGCATAAATAAATCTTGAAAAATATAAAATAAAATTTAGACCCCTAAGGTTGTTAAGCCATTCTACTTTAGTATACAAAACAGCTAATCATCGTGGGTTATATTGCCTGGGGAAAAGGATAGCTTACATTTCAAGTCAGCCTTCCAAGTACATGCCTTCTAAGAGACAGATATGTCCCCCTGTGAGGACAGAGACAGGAGAAAGAGCTCTCGCTCTTTTCTACAAATATTCAGGAATCAGTCAGTTTAAATCAACACTGTGCTTAGGCAGCACTGGGCCAACACTCTTGACCATGCTGCATCAGAATCACGTGACCATCCTGCGTCATACCAATGTCCAGGCTGCACCCCGGGACAGTGAGATGCAGATCTCTGGGGCATTGAGAATGTGCACAGCTGCCCACTGATTCCTGGGTGTACCAGGGTTGAGAGCCAGAGATTCACTCCTTTTCCGTGCTGTGTGTTTCTGCAAGCTCAGTACTCGGCTGACAGAATGCATAGGTCCACATGGGCAACGCAGGCTTTGTTGAGACTGTTTCCAAAGAGAAAGTACAATGAGCACACAGCAGACTAGGAAGATATTTTGCTGTATATATTTCACCAAAAGCTACATGGAATGTAACCCCTGATTTCTTCCTACTCCTCTTTCATAAAATGATGAAGAGAGTGAAGAATAGAGTTGTGATTATTTTCTCTCAGTCTTAAAAAGAGAAGCTTCCAGATGCAAGAAGGTGGGTGGGAGAGTGGCTGGCCATGATCACTAGGCTAATACCCCTTTTCTGACTGGAAAAAGGGGAGAATAGAGGTAGCTTTAAAGCAAATGAAAAGGATGTTTAATCATACAGGTATTTCCTAGAACTGAATACAGAGAAGTATATGGAAGTATCCTACTCACCCTATGTTCTAAGCTAGAGCTCAAAAACAAGGAGAAATATAACAGAGAAAACTATGGCTGCACTTCAAGTTCTGAAAGGGAGGGAAGAAAAGGGTAAAAGTGGGCAGGCTTCTCTCCTTATCTGTGAACTTGAGGCAAGAGAAGAAGCAATGTTCTTTTTCTATGCAAAGTCCTCGTCTTTGTATTGTCTGAGTAGACTTGTATTACTACAATGTCCCAAAGCAATGTTTCCTGCATATTCTCTCATGGAGAAAATACAAGGAACCTCTTGGTTCCTTGAGGAACCTAGAACCCCAAAGCAGAGTCCCATGAGTGTATTTGGCCACCATAAAGAGCTCTGGTTGCCTAGTTACCCTCTAGGAATTCACAAGAGCGCTAACCAGTTAGAGTAGAGTCAGCTCCTTGCAAGCTGTGCAGACAGAGGAAGCCTCTATACCCCCCGGGAACCTGACCACCCAGCTCTCAGAATGAATTCAACACTCCCAATTATCCTCTCATCTTCTCAAAGAACTGCTTTAAAGTTTCTTCTATTTGCAGACCTTCTATGAATAGTAAGGCTTCTTGATTAAACAGCAACAACAATAAAAATCAAAAGAATAAGTTAAATCCTTGGGGCTATCCATTATAGGAGGGGCGGAAGCAGAAGAAGGCACCAGTTCTCGGTGTGGTTTGACATGATACTTCCCCTTGGAACTGACACATATTCTCCTCACTAAATAAATACAGGTGTTCACACAAGCCACTTGGCAGAAATTTTGACAGATCACACACACACACACACACACACACACACACACTATAAAAATCACATCGGGCATCACATTCCATTACTAGACCACAAGTAGCAAGAGAATCAAATGCATGATACTGGGAACTATGATGAAAGTGAATTTCATTTTTTTCCAAAGTGGAGAAAGTGATGTGACCGGGATATCATTCCATTTCACCTGAAACATGTGGTTATTACCCAGGACTGAGCAGAAATTTGGGGCATGGCAGCACAGAGCAGCTGGAAGAGATATTTCACAAGAAGAGTTTCTTGTTGATATTTTATAATACTTTTAAAGATGCATATTAAATAATTTCTCTGGACCACAGACACCAGTGAACTTTAAAAATAAAAGCCCTATAAATATTGCCGACCCAACCTAGTCTTCTGTGTCTCCCTCCTTGCATAAAATGGAATCTTTTCCACCAAGCACTTCAACATAAATATTAAAAGAATCAATGGGACAAAGTACAAATCTACTTACAATGTCATCACTACTATAGCACCTTTTTACTAGCGCCCAATGCATTCATTGTATAAAGAACAAGGAGTGTGAGAAGCTTAAGGACTCATATGACACATCATTAAATATTTAATCACCTTTTCAAGTCCTAAGCCTTTATCATATTTCATCCATCTAGACAGTTCAGTCTATACTATAGATTCGAAGGCCCCCTGTGGAGGGGTTAAAAAAAGGAAAACGGGGAGGAAAAAACCTGCTGAGTGGCAGGGTTAAATTATCTCTAAGATGAGTTTCTATTGGCGCTTTAGTGAACTTGCTTCACCCTGTAAACCCACCAGTTCACAGGAGGGTCAACCGATTGAGTCCACTGAGTTTAGTCTCCAAGAATCAGTTTTACAAAAGATGCCACATCTGTTGCTTTGGATTCGTGAAGGGTGAAAAATTGATGTTGCTGAGAAAGAAAAAGAAAAGACATGGTATTAATATTTACTGTTGACAACAGATGGGGTTAACAAATTAATCTCTTCAGTAAATAGATTAAATGCTGGTACCAGGGCTCCAGCCAGCACACATCTCATGCTGAAACATTTTCAAGACCGTTTTTAGTTGCCACACCTCATATTTTGATATCTGTTTCAATTACAGAGAATCAACTGCTTTAAAAAGGGACAAAAATAATTAGGCTATTGTCATCCCATCTATGACACAATACAAGGATTAACCAAGACCAGTCTAAAACTTTGATTTGCAAGTAACCTCATCCTCCGCAAAGTAGGATTCTAGAATTAATTCTGTAGAAAAAGAAGTATGAATTTCATAGAAGCATATACATCGGTCTCAAGAAATGGTCTAGTGAGAAAGCAACTTTGTAGAACAGTGGTGGGGCGGGGCCTTGCTGCTGGTTGATTAGGAGCTGGTCTGAGCAGAGACAGACAGTGAGTCATTTTCCAAAGCCACCTGTCCAACCACAAGTTATGCTCCCATCTCCCTGATGAAGAACTCATCCATTTGTCAAGTAGAACAGACTGTGCACTCCAGATACATGAGGAGAAAGTTCAGCTCAGAAACTAAAGATCCAAAAGTCAAAATAACGGTCTGTGTTCACACAATCAGTTGAATTTGGCTTTCCAAAAACATCAAGCCTAGCATGCGGGCCGGGGGGTGAGAGGCATGGTACAATAGGAGAGGGCACACACTTCACAATTTTGAAGAAATACAGTCTGTGGGCCTCCCAGGTGGCTTGAGAGATTAAGTCTCAGCTCTATGAAGCTACCTGCAGCCACAGCAGAACGAGGCCCATCCCTGGCCAGCGAGTGACCCACAGGGTGCAGCAGACCTCTCCTGTCTCACTGGCTGTTCCCTTCAGCATGTGTTAGTAGATCATCTGTTCCGCTCCCCACTTTGTCTCTGGTGAATTCCTCTTACCTCACACTTCTGGCCTACATCCCAGTGTTTGTATGCATCAATAAATAACATAAATCTTTAAAAATATGGGTAGCCCAGGGGTTAGAGCACAGCACTAAGAAGCTAGAGCCACTTCAACATGAGTTCGATCCCTGCCCCCGAGGTGATCCACAGAGCACAGCAGACCTCTCCTGACCCGCCCACTGTTCCCCTCAGCAGTCTACTTTTTCAGTCGGCCTGTTCTGCTCCCCACTTTGTCTCTGGTGAATCCTCTCACCACTCCTGCACCTCTGGCTTATACCCCAGCACTGTATGAACAAATAAATATATCTTTAAAAAATATATAGTCTTTTTCTCTGCACCAGGAAAGTCCTCCCAAAAATTGATCAGTTTTGTTACAGTAAGTACTAGCTGTCACCAGGGAAATTTCTACCTCTAATTAGAAAGAGACACAGTCGTTCACGATCCACTCTCATGGTGGAAACAGAACCAACCAGCCCAGCTGAAAAGCCTACAACCTCCCCGTTGTAGGCTGGCATTATTTTCAGAGAGCTAAGCAGCTAAATGTGAGCATTTTCACATGCAGACACGCTGATGACTCACTCTGTCTCCCCTGGCTTAGGGGATTGTAGTTTACAACCTTCATGTTGCCTCGCTGTAAGGTTTGCTAATTATATTTGTTTTAAACCTGACAACAGAGGGCTGGTGAGTCAGCGCTGTGGGGAACTGAATGCCCACCCAGGGAAGTTTTAGGAAACAATGCGAGTGGAAAAGGAACAAAAAAAATAAACCCCTAAAGAAAGGAGGTGGTCTCCACTAAGGGCCGTGACTCAGAAAGCGGAAATGGAGGATTTCTGCCTTTGTCCAGCTGGACAGACAGGTTGGGCAAAACCTAGGCCTCACAGCCTCTACGTTCACTGGAGGTCACACTGCTGGGTCCTCAGCCTGAGCTTCCTGGACAAGTAAAGGCAGCCTTACTTCTGACTCCTCGCCGCTTGCACAGCGCACTTACCAACTGCTTTACCAGCATGTTTATTAGCTCTCCCACATCCTCTTGGAATGTGAAGATCTTTTCATGTACTTAAAAGCCTTTTACTATCAAAACAGGACACGACAAACCTCAGATTGTCTCAGAAACTGCTTCCAACGCCCGTCAGCCCCATTTTGCCTTTGGTTCTGATGGGGTTATTCGTTCAGTGTCTGAGTCTGTGAATGAATTCAATAACCTGACCTGAAGTCGACAAAAAAAAAAAAAAAAATCCTCAGGTAGCTACAAAAAAAAAATCCTCAGGTAGCTTTCAGTATATTCTCAGGCTGGAAAAAAAAATGCTGTGAGAAGCAAAGGCAGGGGGAGGGGAGAGCAAGCAGGCATGTCAAGATGGAAAGTGTAGCCCGCCTTCTTGTGTGGGTTTGAGGTTGTCAAAGACTGGGAGCAGCAAAGGTCTAAGAATAGCAAAGACAGCGACCAAAGTTGAGCAAATGAGGTACCCTGGAATCATCCCCAGCTCAAGCCCAGACAGGGTTTCTCAGGAAAAGCTAGGCCCAGGGAGGGCGGCCACACCCACGTTAAGTTCCCTGTGGTGCCGTGCAGGTGCACAGACCCACCACCAGGGGCGCCAGAGCAGCTATAGCCACCAACCATCTCCGCAGCCCACACTGAACCCCACGTTCTTCCCTGGGTTCCGTCATCCTCGCCTAACACTGCCATTCAAGCTCGACCTTCTGGGGCTCTTCGTTAAAGGCAGTCTCACCTGGCTACCGGCTCTGGTGGCTATCGTCCAGGACAGGGGTCAGTAAAGGAAGGTCACACCTAGCCCACTGCCTGCTTTGGAAATAAATGTATATGGGAACATGCCACGCCTATTCGTTTACATACTAGGTATGCTTTATGCGAGAACAAGAGTCGTGTCATCGTGAAAGCCCAAAATACTTAGTATCTAGCTCTTTCCCCCAAAAGAGTTCGCTGGTCCCCCCTGGACAAGAATAAGCCCATGTCCTCTAGGGCGGTTTGAGAAAAAGGATTTTGACCCCCCCCCCCTTCTCATCCCCAACTCCTACAACCTAAACAATAGCTTCTCAGCCTGTTTTCTCAATGTTCAAGTCAGAGTTTGGACTCAGATTTTCCATTTAAAAACCTCAATTCCACAGGAAAGCAGGGAGCAGTTATAGCCTTAAAAGTCACATCCACTTCCAGGCCCACAAAGACGAATGCCATAAAAAGAAAAGGGGGGAGCTCAGGAGACCCACGCAATCCTAAAACAACCACACTCACGTCTTAGCAGAGCAGTGTCAGTCTATAGTGGGCAGGGAGGCGCATTAGCTGCCGGTGTATGCTAAGTTAGAACTCAGCATTTTTTAATCAAGTGTGTTCTAGCAAAATCTCTGAGAGGAGGACACTTGAAAAGGAAACATTCTGCACGTCTTTGAAATTGCGACAACGAAGGCAACTTGAACACAGGAGTACAGGTCCCACAGGAACCCACCAGCACCACTGCATGTCTGTTGCACTTTATGTGAAATTCTTTTTAAAATGCTCTGGGCATTGCATCAGCATAGCAGCCCAGGCCTGCCGGCAAAGACCCCTGGTGGGCTAGTGAAAACATAGTCAGGGAGGAAATACTCAGCCCTTGTGCAGTCTGCTAGGATTTTCTCAGGTTACTCTGTGGGTCGGAGTTGAAGAAAGCCAGCAGAATGCTGAGGCCCAGGGCTGCCTCTGTGGAGGAGACAACAGAGGCCCAGGGAGACTGCCTGGTCTCTTCTCAGGCTTCACCCAGGTGGAGAAAGGGCCAGACTTCAAACAGACCCTCAAGAGAGCAAAACATCCATGTCCTTGGGCTATGACTCTGACCTGTTGTTGAGTTAGCCCTCTGCGACTCATCCTGTTTGACATCTCCAAGGCAAAGCATTCCTTTTCCTTCTGTTTCTTAGCTTTCTTAAGACATAGCCGACATTCTGGGAGCTTGATGTGATTTGATGAGCTTTTAAATTGCAAAATGAGTACTATATAACTAGTTAAACTTCCATCACTTCAGTTTCCCTGTTTTGATGGTGCTGGTGGCACACATTTTTAAAATCTACTCTTCTAGCAACTTCCCCATATAAAACGTAATGTCTACTACAGGCACTACACTGTACACAATACCCCCAGGACTTCTTCATCTTATAATTTTGAACACTTTCACCTGCTTCCTCACCCTACCTCACCCCTGGCAACCAGAAGTTGACTCTGTTTCTATGAATGCTTTGTTTTAGATTCCACATGTAAGTGAAATCATAAAGTATTTTTTTTTTTAAATCAGATATACTTTGCTTCACATATGCCCTCAAGCTTCTGCCATGTTGTTGCAAAAGACAGGATATTCCTTGTTTATGACTGAATAATATTCCAGTGTGTATGCAGATCATGATTTCTTTATGCATATATTGATGGTCAGTCACTTAGATTACTTCCTATTCTCTTATAGTAGCTAGTGTAATGAATGCAGGAATATAGGAATATAGGAATGCAGATATCCCTCTGAGATAATGACTTCATTTCTCTCAGATATACTAAAACTACTAGATCTTAAGGCAGTTCTAGTTTTATTTTTGAGGTGCCTCAAAACTGTTTACATTTCTATGAACAGAGGGAACACAAGAATCCCCTTTCCTCCACATTCTCATCAACACTTGTTATCTCTCAGTTTTTTTGACAATAGACAAGTCAACAGGTATGAGATGATGTCACTGCAGTTTTGATTTGTGCTTCCCTGACATGCAGTGATGATAAACTCCTTCCCATTTATTTGTCAGAAATCAACAAGTAGGACCACATCAAACTAAAATGTTTCTGCACGGCAAAAGACAATCAACAAAATGAAAAGGCTACCTAGAGAATGGAGGGAATGTAGCTGAAAGGGATAATATCCAAAATACAAAAAGAACTCACACAACTCCATTGCCAAATCAGGGCAAAACAAGTAGACATTTCCCAGAATGAAATGATGTAAAACTGATTGACAACCTATGCTATTTTCCAAGATGGAACCATCTCACCACAGCATCTGGTAAGAGATATCAGGGACTTATACTAGTAGCACCTGGTCAGGAACTAGCCTTAAAGACAGCATTACTTTTGAGTAGGTTGGCAAATATTTAGTGCCTGCTGAAATATTTAGTGCCTGCTGAATAACTTCTCCAGTAAGAATATTTTCTTTTGAAATTGTGCAAGAACAGACTCTGATCTCCTGCTAAAATGAAGAGCCCTTGGTCACTGAAACAAACATAGGTGAACACAAATTAGCAAATAGTCTGTATTGCATAGTATTTCTAAAAAAATATGCTTTTCTCACTTTCAACATGCATTTAGATAAGAATTTCCGGCCTTAGGTTCCCGTTATTTATATTAAATATTCACTTGTAATTAGTTTCAAATTGTGGTTATCACAATGTAAGAAAAATCATTTTCAAATCACTCCAAAGGCATGTTTTGCCTCTTTTTTCACAGATAGCACAGATGATAAACCAGGAATGCTGAAACAGTGTAATTCAAACTAATAAGACTTCGTGCCTATTTCTCATCAGAATGAAAACCAGACGAAAACAGAACATTTGTTTCCTAAATACCCATCAAGCAGAAAAGCATCTAATCAATCCCAAATATTTTATCAAAATGCTGAAGAGTCACTTAGCACTTATATGTCTCTCATTATTGACATCTGTTAACGTATACTTTCCTTCATTTTATATGAGCACTTTGTGATGCTTTGTACTTTGAAATTTGAAATTTTATAGACATTTTGTGGTCTATCCAATAACAGGATGGGGTTATCAGCATGAAAACTGCTCAGATGGGAGCTAAGTCCCAGGTTAAACTAAAGAAGGTATAGATGAGGGAAAGACCGCACTCTTTGTCTTGAGTTCAATTCTGGTGACCAACGTCTGCACAAATCAGCTCTTTACCCTGACTACCTCAGTTTGTACAAGTTCACATGAGTAACAGTACTTACCATAAGTTCTGGGTATGTTGGCCGTTCTTTGGAATTCTTCTTCAAGCTTAAAGGAAAAAAAAAAATAAATAACATTAACATCTAAAAGCCATCTGTATTTTCACTAGACTAGGATTTCAGAATCTGTATTCTGAAATACAGCTTCACATGTATTGAATACACAATTAACCTATCTTGCCTTTCTGTTATAAATCATGTCTTTAATCACTCTGGCTGTAACTTCTTGGGAAGAATAGGTGTGTGTGTGTGTGTTTATTTTCCTTTTGATACTTTGCCACTGGCATATAAACTAACTTTTCTGATGTACAACCATTATATCTCTTAACACAATCTACTTTCTCTCAAAACAGCTTTTTAACCATGCCCACCTACAAAGAAATTGGCAGGTGTTTCTTATATCTAGACTTGCTATCTCTTTACTCGCCTCCATACCTGGTTCTCCTTGTTGGTTCCCTTCAGTGTCTAATTTGCTCTACCCATTCCTCACCAAACCTGCTTGAGATCAAAGCAGTACACCGTAAAATGTCTGAGATAACACAACGTGTTGACAACCTCTGGCTGATGAAAAGGAAAGCACTCAGTGACTTAGCAATTATTCTTCTCAGAAGTTCTTTGCGGTCATGTACTCTTCTGAGTGGCTCTCATGCATTCTGCTGTCTCTACACACAGACATATGAATAACAAGTGACACTGGAGGCGACAGTGATAACATGGCAATATGAAAAAGCCAGACCCTCACCCCTGTCCTTAGCCCGCCCCTGCACCCACCCATGGCCTTCAGATGGAAAACAGAATTGGAGCAGGAATCCCAGGTTACAGAATGGAGAAAAAGGATGATTCTGAAAACCATGATTTGCAAGACAATCTACAGACTCTTGTGCCCAACGTACATGGATGGAAAGGGGCTTTGCCTGGCATTGGAGGTCCCCAAAGGTGCCCGGGTTTCAGGTTACTGGGATTGGTGCTGATGAATCACTTTGAGCAAATGAGACCTGGTGGGTGTGACATGAGCTCTGCTCCACCCACGTCGGTTAATAGTAATGAGGGGGACAAGGCAGGGTCAGAAGAGTGTGGAGTCGTTGAGACACTTTGAAATTCTGTGGTGTAAAACAAAACGAAATGAAAAAAGAAAAAAAGAGGAAGTTTTTTGAGCCAAAATAACTGAAAGCAGCCTACCCGTTCACTCCAGGCAATGCTGTGGGTAGAAGCCAGGGAACCTGAGACAGGGTACAGGTGGATGTGAGGAGAGAAGTTTCAGCCTGGAACTGAGGGCAGACCTAGGACCTACTGACCTCAGTGCCCAGGCAACCTATGAGAGAAAGTTTCATCTCAACGGAGGATAAACATAAGAATGAATTAGAAAGAGGAATGATCAAGCGTCAAAGTGGGATTGATATGGGAAGATGTGCCTGGGTGACGGGAGGACACCGTGTCCCCTCCATTTAGAATTTATGTGACCACAGCCTGAGCCGACTGTGGTTCTCAGTTGTGGATAATTTACCCTCCAGGGGAGCATTTAGCAATGTCGGGGGGGCGGGGGGAGGGAGATACTTGTGGTTGATGCAATTGGCATTGGAGGGTGTAACTGCCTCTAAGAGGGGAAGGCAGAGAGATTACTCAATACCCTAGAATGCACAGAACAGGATCCCACAACAAAGAAAGACCCTGCCCGAGTGTACCAGGGCTGACCTGCTAACTCCTGGGCAGATGGTCTGCTGTATTACTCCTCTTTGCCACCTTCAACCCCCTCCTCTGAAGTGAAATCTACTAAGAACCTTCTCCAGCCAGTTCTTCTCATCACCCCAACTCTCCCGAGCCCACCCGTGCTCTAGAAGGCAAAAGTCAAGATTTAGTTTTCTAGAAACAAGAAGAAATATGATTCCTCAGAGAGTTGCTAACTTGCAAAAAAAAAAAAAAAAAAAAACAAGTTTACAAAAAGGCAAATGAGTGAAAGTCTTGAATTTCTGGCCATGAGTCAAAACCTATCAAAAACCAGAAAGTCTTCTCTATGACCTAAAGCACTATGACCTTTAGCACTTTTGCTAAAATCAAAAGTGAAAAACTCCAACACCACCTAGGACCACCTTTCGTATCGAAATTAGTAGATTGCAGGAGTCTCTATTTTAAAAAAATAAGCCCATCCAGGTCCTCACTCTATACTGAGTCTAGACTATTCTCTTTAAGGACCACAACCCAGCCTTCCATTTCTTGTTTTCATTGGTCAACAAACATCCAAGGGATAAGAGTTAGGAAGAAAAGCTGGTTTTCAATAGCCTCTTAGACCAAGCAGCTACAGATCTGAGACTTTCTCTTCAGTAGATAACAAACTAAGACTTTTCTGATCAGATGGAAGCATAATCTTTTTATTTCTGAAATAGCTGATGAAAATGTCTCAGTATTTATTTTAATCTGCACGTTTTTAAAAGTGTGGGTAAAGTACCCCAAGTTGATCTGTCATAAAGCATTCAAACCTCAGCGATTATTGGTCAATCAGCCATTTCTTGACTTTTGCCCTTGATAAGAAAGCTCAAAGCTAACCACAGCACTACTGTAGTGTAATGACGGAAAACACTCACACAGCAAAGTGAGGTTGTTTATTGAATTAATACAACTGATATAACCTATTCCCTACATCTTCTGAATCAAGAACACTTCAAAACATGGACTAAGAATAGCAAAAACACTCAGGATAAGGTTGGGGGAGAAAAGCAAATTTTCCATGTTTAATAGGAAGTGCTTGAAATTCAGTATAAAATAACAACTGTGAAGTTCAAAGCTCCACCAATTTCTTCTTGGAGTTGAGTCAGACTTTTGAATTTTCAAGTGGCTTGTCATTTTCAAGCGTGCAATTAGCTAACTGCCCTAATTCCTCTTCCAAATGCCACAACACACGTTCCTGACCGTAGCTGACACTAAAAAACAGCTACATGCTGTCTTGAGACTTGCTAGCTTGAAGACTGTGCTGAGCAGATGATTTCAGTATATTTGAACTCCCCCCGATCATTTTCAAGAAGGTCTCCAAGGTACCACCCACAAAATATCAGCACAATGTACTACTCCTGCTGTATTTGGCATAAGCTAAATAAATATTCTTTTTACCGACCTTCCTCAACAGGTTGGAAACTCTATTTCTCTGTTTTGTAATAGTTCCTCTGAATCAGACAGAATAGATATGTGGGTGGCTCTCCAATGCCATCAGGCTGGTCAGCTGGGCACTGAGCCTTTTAAATAGGTTTGAGGGGCACAGCGCAAAGGGAGACCAGTTGTTTGGGCACCCAACAGTTGGCTTCCAGGGGCTTCATTTACCCCCCCCAAACCTATGAGTTTATAGGAAAGGGTTTGAGTCAAAAATGGAAGTCTGATAAGATTACAATTTCTTAAGAAATTAATTTGCTGGACCCTCCCTAGTGGCACAGAGGGTTAAAGTTTCAGCACTATGAAGGTGTCCTCACCCACTGCGGCATGAGTTCCATTCCCAGCCAGGGAGTGACCCACATGGCGAGGCAGACCTCTCCTATGTCCCTGCTGCTCTCCTCAGCAGGGCATTTCAGTAGATCTACCTGTTCTGTTCTCCACTCTTTCTCTGGTGAATCTTCTCACCCCCTGCACCTCTGGCCTGTACTTCAGTTCTTGTATCCATAAATAAATAAGTCTTTAAAAAATTAATTTATTATTCCTATGGTAGGACTGAACTATAAATGTCTTTCAATCAAATTTCTCTATCTTAAACCCTGAAGTGAGGCCAAATGTAGCACTACTCACCCAGTAGGTCTTTAAAAGCCCTATGACAAGACAGCCTTTGTGAGAAGGAAAAAAAGGGAGAAAATATTATTCAGTAGTTTGTGTTTCAAAATAAGTACATAAAAGGAAAGGACCTGTAAGAAATTGTTGTTTTCTTCAAGCTCATAAAGAACAAATGTCTAAACTTATTCCCTTATCCCTGCCCCTGATCCTAACTCTTCTCTGCTGTTAACACAAAAAAAGATCATGGACTAAATCCCTGGGCTCTATGGGCGATTTTGGGCATGGTGGTAGTCTGTAAGTGCTCCCTGTTCCACTCCACAACACAACTAGCATTACGGACAAGCAGCAAACCTAGGGAAACAGCCACCAAGGTGTGCAGGGGATGGAAGCACACATGAGTCACAGCACTGTGACGTCAGCTAACACGTCCCACCATCAGTCACCAATGTTCTGACAGGTCATCAAAGCTGTGAAAACACCCCTTTCTTTCCAATTCCACAGATAATATGAATTGAAAACATATCTCTACCTTTCTTGTAATGTGAGATTAAATTCTTCACTTTACAAATCCATAGCTCTTTTCCCTACCTACCACAGAGCTGGGATTTTATGGAGATGGGGTCGTCAGACGGGGTCATCTTAGCACACATCACATAGAGGCCACCCCAGAAAGGCCCTTGTGTGAGATGTATCTCAAAATTACAGCCTTCTGTAAAGGAAGATGGACTCTGTAACGCAGAGGTAGACTCTCAGAAAAGGTCCTTCTCTTCAGCAGGAAATAGAAAACATGTTATGAGGTCATAGCCGTCTTCCTTTCTTTCTGCTCATCTCCAGATCAACCTTAAAACTGTCAGTAGTTCAACGAGTGAAAGAACAAGACTGGGAAGGAAGTCTGTATCCATAGAATGACATGTGCAAAACATAAAATTGCTTCCATAAAGACCTAAGCTGCTCAGGAAATCTTTTGCTAAATCAGTACCATTTTTTTAAGCATTACACAACTTTGCCAACTCGGTTGGCTTCAAAATACTATTCATCCTGAGGGGCATCTAAGAAAATGTATTGGTGGTTTATGGTAGGCAGGAGCCAAGTGAACTAAAATCTGAAATCGGAGAGGCTAAGTAAGAATGTCCCTAAAATTCAACATGAATTCCATTATTCCATTTCCCAATGCCCATGCCAATTAAAACAACTCCCTATTTTATACAATTGATTTTCTTAAGGATCAGATTCTACCGGAATTACGAAACTGAAATTCGAAGAACTTATTCTTTGATGACTTCAAAGTTGCATTGATTTGAGTTTTATTCCTGGTATTATTTTTTGAGTTAAGCGCCATAAGCCAACCAGACAGGCTTCCTTGCACACAAGTGAAAAGATACAGAATTAATAGTATTAACTCAATTAGCAACTCCTGGGAAGTTGGAGAAAATCTATGACTTTTTTTTTTTTATTTATGAACTATAATAGCTGTGACTAAAATCTAAAGTTGAGAAGAGAAGAGAGGAAAAAGAAAGAGGGGTTATGGAAATACTATGTGAGTGCTTAGGGAGGTAGCTTAAGAGGGTGAATTCTACAGAAAGAGCAGTAATCGAAATATCTGAAATTTCCACATCATGCATTAAAATTAGAGAGAAAATTGCCAAGGATTTCTTTTTTAAATAATATCTGTCACAACTTCAACACTCTTATTCTCTAGGGGAAATTTCAAGTAAGAGCAACAGGTATACTAGTAAAAGGAAGATAAAGTAAATGAATGGCTGTTAAATAAGGTGCAGAAGGAAAATAACCTTTGAACAGGAAGCAGCTATAGATAACGGCTCCACGGTTCATAGGTCTAAGTTAAGGGTTCTTGTTCCAGCTGTACGTAGACTCAACAACATTAGGGAACCACGAACACGCAGGACCCTGCCCAGAACTACTCAATCAGGATCTCAGAGGCCGAGGTTCTCTTAAGCTTTATACTAGAGCAGGCAGAGTTGAGAGCCAGTGATTTGCAAAAGAAATTAACTGTTCTCAAACTTTTCATGTCAGCCTGTTCATACCAGTGTGCTCGAAGTACCCAGAATCTTAGGGACAGGGGATAGGTGGGAGAAGGGCTATAGGAAGAACCAGCTGAAAAGACTTTCCCACGTAAGGTGTTCCTCCTGGACAGCTCTTCTTGAGAACTACTGGCCAGTAATATCCAAGATGATGCAGCCCTTTTCTTAGGTGACTGCTACACATCTGAGGATGTGGCGGTTAAAAACAAACCATCTAAAAGCACAAGCTCTTAAAATCAGAAGGTCAAGTCATGAATCCATCTCCACTTGGCAGGTGGAGCTCCACACCCACATTCACTGAAGGGAAGCAGATGGAAGGTCTCCCATGGGGTCTCAAAGGATGCATCCTTGTCCGTGGTACCAAACTCACACCAAAGTGGAGCTCAAGATGCTCAAGAGGCCTGCCCTTCTCTGGTCACTCAGCCAAAAGCAAACATACACACACACACCTCATAGATCAGGAGAGAAAAGCTCTGGAACCTCAAGCTCACGAAAAGCTTAAGGAACTTTCACTGCACAAGCCACACAGTGTGTCTGTTTGTATTTGTCTCATTACATTCCCCACCAAAAACTGTATTCAGAACACTGCTCCTGAAGAGCCTGGAGACCAAGGGAAAATCATGTGGAAGGTGTTACTTCAATATCCTCTAGACTTTCAGACTTTAGAGCTCCAGCCCCTTCCTCAGAAGCAAGGGGCCAGAATGGCTTGTCTCGGAGGGTGAGAGCTGGGTTTGTTGAAGCCTCTGGTTCCCCTCCCTCCCAATTCTCATCTGCTTGTGAGGATGCCCCTACCAGCCAACGTGGTGCCATTGTCCAAGGTGACTCGGACACCTCTTTCCATCACCATTGCAAGGATCAATTGTATCAATATGGTGGTCTCATGGTCCCATGCAGACAGAAAACACTAGATTTCCTGGTCAAGAAAGCTAGCCCCACTCTCGTTCCTTGATTCCACCGACAATTCCCATGAAAACCAATCCACAGTGTTAGCATGACTCCTTCCATACTCCCTCCTGAGATTCCTGTGCCTTCCAACATAACCTCAAGGCAAGTCCATCCCCAGTTAGCAAACAGGGTGCAGTTTAGAAATCACGAGACTTGCTCTGTAAGCCTACTCCATTCCTAAGCAATGTTCTGAAAGTCCCTGCTATCTTCTCCACCCAAGGCAACCTTTGAGTCCTATTTGCTCCCCATTCTTAGTCTCCACTGGGTCCTTCTACCCTTTCTTTATGCTACAGCAACATCAAATTGCTTACAGCTCTCATCAAAGACTTTCTCACTTTTATGACATGATGGATGATGTTCCCTCTGTGGACCAGCTTGAGACTAATCCCACTTCCCTTCTGCTTGGGAAATACCTCAAGATTCCAGCTCAAGATGTGTCTCCTCTGGAAGCTCAACCCTAATGTCCTTCCTGAGGTCCCCAAATAATCACTAGACTTGCCATATTGCACTATAATTAGTATGGGTGGGTGACATGCCCCTACTTGATTCTGCGCTCAGTGGGGACAGGGACTGGACTAGAGGTATCATGACTTCTCTGGGACCAAGGGCACGCTGTGTAAATGCTTCTGGAATGAACGTGTGCACATGGATTAAAAGCAACGAAGGAAACTCATGAGGACGCTGGCGCCTGGCAGGCGCGGCTCTCTTACCACTTTGAGGTAAAGTCAACAAACTCTTCCGAGAACTTGTCTGCTGGTAGTTGGGGCGATGGCTCCTCCACCACCTGTTTGAGCTGCTGAAAAGGAGTGCCCCAAGAATCATAAGGAAACCGAAGAATGGCCAACTCAATCTAGAAAGGAGAGGAAAACAGGGAGACAACAGCTTAACGATGAGGACTTTAGGGAATCTGCTGTGTTTTGTTCCTGGGAAGCCAGTGAGAAATACGAAGGTGAAGTTCAAGTACAGGGGGTGGTGGGGGGGAGTGAGGAGCTGTGTACGAGAAACTAAAAATACTATCTTCTAGCAATTTCCCCTCCAATATCTTGTGCCGGAGATTTTCAAACATTGTCTTGCGAGGACACAGATATTCCAGTTTATTTTAAATCTTTCTCATGAAAACCCACTATGGCCCTGGGTAAAATAATCAGGCAGGAATATTAAACTTCAGGGTGGAAGAGCAAAAAGGTTTTCCAAACATTGCTTGGGAATAGTTCATTCTCCTCCCAAGAGCTGTGTCTCTGCTGCCACCTACAGGGCCCTCCTCGAAGTGAACGACGACTGCCTGGACCAAGTGACTGGTCTTTTTTTGGACTTGGGTAAAGGCCACTTGACCATTCCCAGAGCACGTGTTTTCTGGACAGGGATATGAAAAAAATGCATGGGATTTAATCAGCTGCTCAGCCTGGGAAGGATCCAGGACCACAGTGGATCATTCCAGACCTTGGTGGAACACTGATAATGTATGATTGCTAAATGTGGCATTGACCCACTCTTTCGGGCTGTACCCATGGAAATGATCCTATTTGTTGTCACGTCTTATACCTGACCTCAACGGAGAAGACTCATCACCACCACATCCCAGGAAGCCGAGCCTGCGTCCTGGTTAATGCAGCTCGATCAGGTCCTTACACCTGAGGACACTTGAGCTAAGCTTCTGAGTAGAGTTAATTCCATTTTCAACTATTAAGGAAAATGACCAGGAATGATAGCTAGACCTTCTCCCATTACAGATGAAGTCAGCAAGACTGTGCACGTGGCTACACCGGTTACTCAAGGGCAAACAAATAAAGAGAAAAGCTAGGATTGTCCAATCAGGTTCTATGTTTTCAGGAGTCCACACTGCAAACAACTGTCACTCAGACTCTTCTGCCACCTCAGACGGGGAAGAGCCCGCGGTCAGCATTCAGGGCATCCACCTCTCTGTCCACCCCACCCCAGGGTCATGCCCAGGACCTCCCAGCCTGAGAGGCTTGTCTTGTACGCTACCATGGTGATGCCCAGGCTCCAGATGTCAGACTTCACACTGTAACCCTTCTGGTTGAGTTCTGGGTTTATTCTTTCAGGCTGGAAAGGAGACAGAGAAAACACAACAAGTGAGATGATGTTATTAGCTCGGTGGAGTCTCTGGGGTAGGATGAGCACTGGCTGCCAGGTGAATGCTTGCAAGCTGGTAACAGGCCTCCGGGGCCCAGAGGACTCACTGACTACAATAAACATCACGTCTCTGCAGGCTGTCTCTCTGTCTACATTAGGTTTTTCTTGGAGACAGTCGTGGATCAGAGTGCCCTCACCGTTCCGAACTAATTTCTTTTTTTTTTGCCTGAAGACAAAAGAGGTGACATGTCAGAAAGGCCCTTTGTCAATTATCCTGGTTTAAATTATCCTGGTTTAAAACACCTGCAGCACCGAACTTGGAATCACAAGAGTTGTGTGACTAGCAGCAGCTAACGTTACCTGCTCGCTAAACACTGACTGGATGCTTTTGGGTCCCAAACACAAATCCAACCCAAATATGGCAGGCCCCTTATGTTCGAGGAGTCCTAAGCCCCTGCTGACGCCTGGGAGGGTCTGCCAGGACTAACCTGACTGAGGTGAATGGGTCAGTTCAGTATTTACTATATTATATATATGCAACACATATAACACATTATGACATGCATACATGCATTCTATAGTATATAAAATGTATATGCACTACATATTGTATATTGTATCTAAATGTATAAATTGTATAACTGTATATCTATAATTGCATATATATATAGTATTATGTTTTAGTCAAGTGACAATGTTTGACAACACTGATTCAGAGATGTTTCAGAGGTACAGGGTCACACCTCCAGATGCCACCCAGGCTCCCACTATCCTCTATACAGCCTGCTGTGCACCCTCCATGCTTGACTCTTTGACAACCTCAATTCTGCAATCAGAAATGTAACTAGGGTTTGTTTTGCTTTATTTTCAGTGATTTAAATTCTACTTACTTACCTGATCTTCTCCTGGAAGACTAGGGGAATAACTATGCCCCTAACTCCACATAACACACACATAGACACAGCATAGCAGCAAGTAAATGCCCTTTGCCCAAGACTTGAAGGATAGATGCCTCATTTTGCTCAATAAATGATGATCACACATACACACACACACACACACACAAATGCTATTTTTGGTTCTGGTCTCAACCAACAAGGTAACACTCCATTGCAGTATGGGAAATTGTGTGGGCATGTGTATTTCTTACATTTTTTTCCAAATAATGTCCTCTTCATCGATTGTTTTAAAAAATAATATACATACACAGTGGAATGCTATTCAGCAATCAAAAACGATACAATAATACCATTTGCAGCAACATGGATGGGGCTAGAAGGGAGTGTGCTCAGTGAAGTAAGTAAGAAGGAAAAAGAAAAATAACAGGTGGTTTCACTTATAGGAGAAATATAGGAGAATCAAATGAGGGACCAATGGGGAAACCAATGATGCAAAATATATATTAAATGCAAACATCTGACAATCTGACAGCAGCCCTCTGCCCACCTGTGCCTACGCAGCTGCTTCTCTCCACCCACTCTCTCCCTCTGCAGGGCAGCAGCCTCCTGCCTCCCATGACCTGCACCTGCTGAGCTTCTCTGCACTGATCTCCCTCAGCGGAGGCCCGCTCTTTAAGGCCACCTGCCTGCACGCACGCAGGCCTCTCAGCCTCTCAGCAAACCTGTCCCTTTAAGGAGTTCCTCCTGCCCTCCTGTGTCTATGCAAGAGTTCTTTTCCCTAATAAACCTGCTCTTTAAATAGAAAAAAAAATTACAAACATTTGAAGAAACCTATTTGCTTATTTGTATGTACACATCTGCACACACACACATATGAAGCAAGTGACTAAGTATTTCAGACAAGAACTATGTAAGAGCGAGAGACGCAGCCTGCTGCCCATCAACCTTCCCGGGGTCACCACTTCCTTTTTCCCACAGGTCTGTGCGGCAGCGGCCCGGCCAGGTACTTACGGCCATGTACGGCTTGCACCCCGCGTCGATCGTTTTAGCCACAGAGTCCACCAGGTAGCCACTGATTCCAAAATCACACATCTTCACTTGGCCCAAAGCGTTGATCAGTACGTTAGAAGGTTTGACGTCTGAAAGCAAGAACAGCCAGGAGCCCATCTCCGCGACCTGCGTGGGGATTCGCTTCTCTACCAGCAGGGGGCGCAGAAGCTCCATCCTGCATCTCCCCATCGCCCCGTGAGGCCGCTGACCGCGGTGACCCGAGTCCCTGACTCACTTCCTTACCTCTTACAGCTTGCAACCTATTTTCTACTTTGTGGGATCCCTTCTCAGAGAACGGGGACCCACGCATGGGAAGAACCGCTTTCTCTATTTATTTTATCATCTTCATTGCCTCCTCACATGAAGTGTGAACTTCAACATTCACTGAAGCAAATGCTCAGTGAATTATGCAGGGTGAAGAAATTCTAGAGATTTGCTGGACCACAGTGCCCAGAAGAAGCTAGACTGTGCACTGAGTCAGCTGGAGGGTAGCCCTCATGGGAAGTGTGCTGACAGTGTTTTAGAAGCCCAGTGCATAACGATATACCACATTCCTGCAGGGGGAGGGGATGGGAACGGAGGCTGTGAGCCGAGATACACACATACAATCCAAATGACTCATTCCACTGAGGTCTCTGCAGGAGGTGTGTCAAGGGCCACTTGGTGGAATTCGTTCCATTCTAGACCACGGAGCAGGTCACAACATACCCCGAATGTGAATGAAGTGTGTTACTGAAAGTTTTGAAGTGACTCTTTTCAGGTGGAAAGCTGTGAGCCTTCCACACCCCTGCGGGGTGATCCACCATCACCTCTGTATTACAGCATTCGAAACTACACTTAAATGTTCCGTTTGTGACACTTCTCACAACGGATATGTATTCAGAAGAAGAAAAATTACTCCAAAAAACCTTTTCAAGTATCCTTTCTTTCTCTTAAACTCAATAGCAGATTGATACATTTTATTATTTTTATGCCTTGTGTACATTTTCAAATCTATACAAATGCATATTAAGTAACTTTTACCTTTGTGGATAATACACATTCTTTTTCCTATCTAGATTCCTCCTCCTCTTTCTTCCTTCCTATTTTCCCACTTTTTGATAACAATTAACAATAATAATAGTCACAATGATGCACTTTACATTCTTTTCAATCAGAGAGAGCATAAGAATTACCAAATCACAATGCCGATTAACTGTCAACATATTTCATTATATTTCCTGAAGGTTAAGCTTACTCTAGGCACCTATTGGTAATCACTATCTTGTTTCAGATTCTCCCATTGTTATTTCCATACTGGCATTTTCAATTCTAACGTGGCTTCTTTATAATGTGTTTGTTACACATTTGTCTATTGTCAAAATATTCCCTACCAAGAGCAGCTTTTCTTTTCAGATACCACTCAGGGCACATATGATAATATTGTATAAATACAATGCTGCATAAATACTGGGATTGATTATAAAAGATAAATAGATGGGTGGATAGAAGGATATATTGGTGTCTGGACAGGTGGATAGAGGGAGGGAGGGATGGACAGATAAAGGAATAGATGGGTGGAAAGATGGATAGAAGAAAGGTAGATAAAGACAGTAGGGAGGAAGAGAGGAAAGGATGGAGCAGAGGAGTAAGAAACAAATTACCAATTTGTTCACCTTATACTGGCCCTTCAACATCTTGCCTCCTGCTGCCTGAAAGGACAGCTTTATCCCAGAAATTTCTACACATGACTGTAAGAATTGCCTAGGACATTACTAAAATACAGAGTCTGATTCAGTGGGTTTTGCAATACATGACCTGATTTTCCAACAAGCCTCCATTTGAGCCTTCTCAAGCAGAATTATCAGTGGGTCATCCCCAAATTCAGCTTGGTGACAGGCATTTTATATTCAAAATGATAATATCAGGATCATGTCTTTTTATAGCTTCAGAAAGATAAAGAGCAGCCATTTAATGATTTGCTTTCCAGTCAGCCCCAAAGTAGTCGCTTCTGCGGCTCAATCCTACTTCCATTCATTTTGGAGAAGGAGGAAGAACTCCAGCTAAAAGAAATGAATTGTATAAGAGAAACAGCCAACCCTGCTCCGTGGGTGCTTACCTCGATGAATGACAGAAAGCTTACTGTGTAAATGTTCTAATGCTTTTACAATCTGCAAGAGAAGCACAAGACAGATTTATTTCTCTCCATCACTGGAAAAAAAAAATTGAATGTTAAGTATATCCAGTATTTATTATCCCTGGCTTAAGGTCACAGGTGAAGTATTTTCTCAAATAGCAGTGGTCCTCTCCAGGAAATATACAGAAATCACACAAATTGGAGTCCATCCAGCATGGAGGACTCTGTCCTGTAGCAGAGAAGATATCTCACTCATCTGGCCTCCAACTCTGTTTCCTCTCTGCTCTCCTGAGTCATTACGAGAACAGCCCTTCTTTCCATTTATCTTCTGTTCCTTGTATGCCCACTAGTCCTAAGAAAACATAAAAATCTACCCAAAGCAATCAAAATAAAGGAATATCAGAGCATAGAAACCAGGCATGAGCTCATAGCAGATGTCTGTCTTGCTTGGAGGCATGTTAGAGTTTACCACACCAAGTCAACGAGTGGATCCTTCTAAACTATGCTCAGAAAGGAAAGTTCTCGTTTCTCCTTCCACAGATGCACTCATGTATTTGACATCTTCTGGATGGGAGCGGTGGTGCAGGTAGTGTTCTTTATACTGAGAACACAGGCACATAAGGTCTCGAAGTCCCACATTCTCCGGTAGGAGGCTCATACTCACAGAAACTGCTATTTTTCCTAAGATGTCCTCTGGAATTGTTTGGCCTTTATCAATCACTTGTTTGTAGAATTTATCTAGTGATGTGTCCATGAGCTCCATGCAGATCCAGACATCACCCTGGAGACAGATAAATTCAGAGATTATTAGAGAGGATGGAAAAGGGAACAGACACAGACACAGTTTGCCAGGAGGGACCATTTCTTGCGTAAGTTTTTGGAGGAAATGGAGTTTCCCTTCCAGACCACATAAGAATTAAAAAACAGGCCCTCCCTGGTGGCACAGCGGGTTAAAGCATAGCACTGAGAAGCTAAAGCCACTTCCATATGAGTTCGATCCCCGCCTGCCCCGGAGGTGACCACATGGCGCGGCAGACCTCTCCTGACCCGCCCGCTGCTCCCCTCAGCAGTGTACTTTGTCAGTCAGCCTGTTCTGCTCCCCACTCTGTCTCTGGTGAATCCTCTCACCCTCCACATCTCTGGGCTGTACCCCAGTTCTGAATGCACAAATAAATCTTAAAAAAAAAAAAGAAAAGAATTAAAAAACAGCAAGATTACCTCCAAAGAGCTCACTGGCAGATGGCAGGACCTGCCATCACCTGCACCTGGGATCGGAATGCCAATGGCCCAGAATCCCAGAAATCCAAACCCTAATGCCCTCTCAGAGTCATGTCTGGATAAAGACTCCATGTCTCACTTCCCACACTCAGCACTGGCCCTGGTGATTCAAAGCCTGTTTTTTTTTTTGTTTTGTTTTGTTTTGGTTTTGGTTTTTTTGTTTGTTTGTTTGTTTTTAATTCATACATATAAGAACTAGGATGCAGGCCAGAGGTGAGGGAGTAAGAAGACTCACCAGAGACAGAGTGGGGAGCAGACCTGGCAGATTAACTGAAGTACACTGCTGAGGGGAGCTTTGGGGAGACAGACAGGAGAGGTCTGCTGAACCATGTGGGTCACTTCCCTAGCCGGGTATTGAACTCATGACATACTACAGTGGCTGTGAATAGCTTCATACTGCTGCGTCTTAGCCCCTTGCAATATCAGGGAGGCCCCCGTCAAAGCCTGATTATAAAACAAAGCATGGAGAGCCACTTGACGGCAGAGTGAGAAGCAGATGTAGAGCAAAGAGGTCAACATAAGCCTACATAAAGGCAAGTCTCTCTGAAACTCAGTGAATGGTTAAGAGCCCACAGTCGTTCCAATTTTGAGGACTCTGTCCAAATCAGTTGATAGATGTTTGATAGCAACAGTTGTACCAAAAGGCACAAGCCAACTCGGAAAGAAGACAGTGGGGGCTGAGATTCATTAGAAGGGTTAACCCCACTTGGAAAGTCACCATCCCAAGCCATTTCTGATTCAGACCACGCCATCACTGTGCAAGCACGCAGCGCTCTCAGAAGACAGGTCAGACAGAAAGGCCTGTCGTGGCAGTGATGGCATCACAGAAACTTCTTAAGTTTTTGTTCCCTTTGGACTTTGAGCTGAAGAATCACCTACCTCCCGGAAGAGGGCGCCATAAAAGGTGACGGTGAAAGGACAGTCCACGGTCCTCATGGAAATATCCAGATCCATCAGTAGCCGTTTCTGCTCCTGGCTATTGACTGTGGCTCGGATCCGCTGCATGACAATACATGGGACAATGGAAGGTTACTGCTCCGAAGACAGGTCAGTGAGTCAGAGCGAGGCCAGGAAGAGGCCTGTCCTGAAAGTAATCTGGACATTCCCAGCATAACTTGGTGCAAAACCCTGTTGCAAGCCTACCCTCAGTGATTAACACCTTGTAAAGAGGAAGAACAAACGTGATTAACACCTTGTAAAAAGGAAGAACAAAGAAAACTGTTATTTATTGATTTCCCAAATAATCCCTGGTGAGACACAAACTGATAGTATCGCAAATGGCTGGAATGTTTCTAAGTCACAAAAAAAAACGGTCTGGTTGGCTGAGTTATGTCTGGTATAAAAAGGTCACAGAATTTTGTGGCTGATATGGGGTCTTCCAAACCCTCTCCCCAGTATTGTCTTTGAGCACAGTAATATTTGGACAAAACAACTGTGAGAGAACTGAGGTGACTATAGGGAAGAGGAAGAATCAAACAGGAGTGGAGAAACTCCCCAGTGTTTCTAAGAAAAGAGAAATTGGTCACACCAGCATGTGTGATCTTCCTATACTTGAGCAGGTCATTAAATAACAGAAAGATATCATTTCATCAGGCTTGCATGCTTTTGGCCTACTTGCAAAAAGTCTGCAGAACCAACTGAAAAATCTACAAGGTAAGGAAAAGATAGCTCCTTTCGCATGCGGCCATAATAGTTCTAACAAATGCCTAGATGGATGACCCTGGAGACGGTCATTCTCCAAGGTCCTGTGGCATCTCCTTAAGAAATATGTAGAGATTCTAAATTTCCTTTCACAACTCACAAAGCAATGCAAATGGAGCTCATTTTCTCCCCTAGCCCTGGTTTCCTGTTTGGGGAGGGCAACTCCCTAAAACCAATGAGTCGACAATGAGAGAAATTTTGGAGACACCACTTTTGCTTAAATTCGGATTGGAACCATCAAGAAGACAAACAATTAAAAAAAAAAAACACTTTGATGTGACTGAGGCCATTTTAATTTGGACTGAGCATTAAATGAGGAGGAGGAAGCTGTGTCATTCCATTAAGGCTGGTGGTGGCAATCGTGGCAGCAAAAAAATTAAAAGAAGGGGAGGAAGCATCTGGTTCATGGTCAGTCACTGATCTAACTGGTACCAAGGAGACATTTCCCACCTACTTATAGGGAAATAATTGTTCCCTACAAATGATCTTTGGGCTCACCCCATGGAAGGTTGCCTTATTTCCATGCCAAGGCTGATTTGCCATTGACAAGACAATCACACAGCACAGCTGAAAGTTGGGGGAATGTCAACTCTACCTTCACCGCCATGATCTGCCCACTGGGCACGTGGCGCATCTTCTCCACCACCCCGTAAGCTCCTCGCCCCAGTTCCACTATCGGCTCCAAGTCATCCGCCTTCACCTCAAAGTTCTACAAGAGAGAAACAATAACAGTATGTTAGGAACAACAAAACAGGCTGGCTGTGGACCCTCTTGTCCGCTCTCTGCCTTTTCCTGACATGACAAGGCTTGATTCTGGTCTGGGAGTATCTGGCCTACAGGCTTTTCCCTGCAGTCACTGAAAGAAGAAGAGCAGGGAGATGTTTAGACTCCCACAACTTGCCACCTGCTGACAGGCAATACACAGATCCCACTTCAGCTCAGCTTCCAGACTGCTCCAAATCAGCTCGTTTCCCTTTTATTGTGGGTGCGATCCATTTGCTAACTGATAAGCAGCTAGGTCTGTATTTTTGAGAAAAGCCTCCCAAAGAGAACCAGCTACTCTCCTTAAATACCTTCCATCAGGACCACACAGTTCAACGTTCAAAATAACAAGAACTGCACAAACCACTTTTTAAATTCAAATTTTTGGGATCCACCCCCTGACAACATGGTCCGGAAGATAAATGTTGCAATGGTTAGTCCAAAAGCCTACATCTAAAATGATGAAGATAGTCAGTAAGAATATTTAGTAATATTTTTCTTACCTGATTTCCGATAGAAATGCAAGCTTTGGAGTCTAAGTCTCGAGGTGGCCTAGAAAGACAAGGAGGAGAAGTGACCTGCACTATTGCAGCAAATCTAGCCTCTGGAGTCACATGCAACTGGAGAGATTTTTCCTGAGGAAGAAAGTACTATTCAAATATTAATAGTATGGGATTTGGAATCAATATATTTGGGCTTAAACACTTAATGTCTTTGAACTTCCATTTCCTCTTTATCATGAGTTCTCCAGAAGAAGTGAGTATTTAGCAAGTTATTCCAAGTAAAATGCTTATTGGCAAGATGCAGGACTGATGGTAGTTATCTAATAAATAAATGTCATGCATTCTTTCATCTACTAGAAAACACCAAACTTTTTCTTTGATACAAGAATATCAGTGTGCCCAAAATTGCTCACTCTTTCCCCATAACTGTTTTAAAAAGAACACTGATGTGACATCAGGCTATGCTAATTCACAAAATGTATAGGCCAGAAGAAACCCAAATCTACCTAGTCCCTGCCTTGATGGATAGAAAAAGGCCCAGAAAGGTGGTGTGCCTGGCCCAGCATGAAAAGTCCTCCAGGGCCCCTGATTTTTCAGGTCAGAATAATTGGTTCTGTGGTTAGTCCAGTGCTGAGATTTCTTCATCCATGGTGTGCATGCTATCCCGGGGCCTTGTTGCTTTAGTGTCTCTACAAAAGAGAGCTGTAATCCTGTCTGAGTGCAGAAAGCCTGCACTTAACAACGCTGTCAATTCCTGGAAACTGTGACTTAAAGCGAAAGAGCTAGAATGAAGCCTCCTGCCAACACTGGCCACAACCGTTTCTTTTTTGTCCCTGTTACAAGGAGACCGGCTACATTTATCTTTACTACTTTACTACTTCAGTACGACCTTGGCTAACGTCAGTCACTTAGAGAAAGATGTCTGATGTCTGATGGTGGGTGCGCACCACCATCTTTGTACTGAGAACCCAGAAAGCTGCTTTCTTGAGATAAATGCACCAAATGAATCCCAAGAAACATCTTGTGAACCTCATCAAACCAATAAAGCAAGCAGAGGCGAAAGACAAGAGTCCTGGTGTTGCCATAACAAGGTGACCAGAGAGGGAGAGGTTGGCCTCCCAAGAGGACAGTTCTTGCCAGAACTGCTTCCAGAAAAACACAAGGAGAAACGGAAGGAAGGGGTGATGGGAGGGGGACCTTGACTAATGACGACTTTTCCCAAATCTGATCTTTTATGTCCTACTGTGTCTGCTGAAACTAAACAAGAAACAAGAGTAGGAAATAAATACAGATATAAACAGGAGCCCCTAGACTGCAGTGGTGAGCCTTCCCTCATCTCAAACCCCCTTTATGCCCAGAATACAGAACGTTTTCCAAATGCTAAAAAGTGGCACTGGAAGGGAGGGACAGGGCGTACACACACTCACACACATATACACACATTCTAACCCTACACACACCACAAACATACCCCTCACAGACCACACACATCTCCGTCCACCCCATACACACTACATATGCACACACACACTACACATACTACACAAATACCATCCACACCCCACAGAAATACCATACAGATCACACCACACACACACGCCAAAACACACTACACACATACACTCTAACCCAAAATACTCTACACACACATGCCACATGGAAACATCACATAGACATAGACATTCCACACAGATACCACACATACCACTCCACACAGACACCACACAAGTACCGCCCACACCCCACACACATAAACGTAACTCTAACCCTACACGTACCGGTACCGCACATAAAAAACACACACCCCAAGCTTATACACACCATAAACACACCACCCAGCACACACACACCCCACACACACAGCCATGATTTTTCATGTCTTGTGTTTCTGAGAAGGGAATTTTTCTTCAGAAACGCTTCCCTGAAGAACACAAACTTCTAAAACTCTCAAAATCTCTCATTCCTGAAATTCCCAAAGCTTTCTTTCCTTACTTGTCACAATTTGTCTGGACAAATTGCAGCGGAACTTTGAAATCATGACAGACATCACTTCCAGTGGGAATAAGCCTTGACAACTGGTCAGCAGGTTTCCTTTCAAAACCCATAAAGCAATGACAAGGTCAGAAACGATTTGGCGCCATCTCCACTACCTGCCTCCAACAAGGGTCTGGGGTCAGGTTCTTCCAGGGTTGAGAGTCGCATCACATACCCCAGAGTGCTATGATTTACACCTAAAGAAGACTTTCACAGATGTAAGGGGTTGTCAGAAAACAGGCAACCACGGATATCCACCAGAGAGGTCCGTGACCTGGGCAGCCTTAGACCACAGCTATGGGGCCTTTGACAAAAAATAATGTTGACTCACTTCAGCTTTCTACGCTCTTCCTCTAATGGGAAGGTTTTGTGCGGGTCTCCGGACTCAGACCAACGAAAACCAGAAATCTCAATGATTGCTGAAGACGTGCAGATCTCAACAGAGCTGAAAATAAATCCCACCTCCCCTGGCTTCTAGTCTTGATCTCAGGATGAAAAAATATGAGCGACAAACTCTGCCACATGTTTTTACCTGCCTCGTATTTAATGCTTTCAACACACGTTCGCAGGCACGTGCACGCACGCACACACGCACACGCACCATACGCACCTATGACACATCTGGGGATGTATCAGCATCCCCAGAGGAGAAACTGCTCGGTTTAGTGTTTAACTAGCTTTTCTCCACGTGGCGAGCCACAGTCCCAACCCAAAGTCTGACTGAGTCCTGGAAGCGGCCGCTGACACCCCGCCCTCCTCTAATGAAAACGGTCCAGCCACCCGAGCCTCAGGCCTTCGGGCTCCTCCTGCCTGCCAAGAGCATCAAAAGCCGGAGCCAAGGCCGACGGCTCGCGTGGGGTTAGCTGACCCTGTGTCCTGTCCAGGCCCGGGCACATTATCAATAGTTTGCCCGGAGCACGATTCTCTGCAGGAGGTTTATACAGTGGGTGAATGTCCTCTGTTGCTTATTCAATATTTTAGTCCCCGAGGAAAGAACCAAACTTATTTGGTGAAACAACATAAGTTTCCCCTTCCCTGGGAGGTCAAGGTATTTCAGAGATCACCTGGAAACAGGTTTGTGTTTTGTTTTATTTAACGTACAGCCAGTGTTGGTTTATTATACTATTTATTTATAAATCTGCATGAGCAACCAATTTGCTACCATTACTAAAATGATGTGTACACAGGGCTTACGAAGCACCTGCTTGGCCCAGAGACTGCGCTAGACCCTCTATTTCCTGTAGTTTCCTTAAATCTTAGAAGTGTCATCATCTCCATTTTATTTTCTTTTTCCGTCTAAATGGACTTCTTTATTTTCTTACATAGGTGTTCCTTCTCGCACCGCATTTGATGTCTCCCCTCAAGTGTGGTTCCCCTCACTCTCCCACCCCGGATCAGCCGTGACCCACGACCCCAGTCCCTCATGCCCCTCCCTCCCCTGTCCTGGCCCCTCCCCCCCAC